AAAATTAGGTTACCAGATACCCAAAGGGAGTGCTGGTCTCATTAGTCTTTGCAAATGTTTTATCTTTATCTGTTTAAAGGACGAGAAGGAGGTGGGCTGACACATGCATATACTTTTATATTTTTTCTTGTGCTGCAGCACCAGTGACAGTATTGAGATACTCGCTTAGTAATAGGTAAATAATGACACCAACAACGCATCGCTTTCCCCCCTCTCATACCTGTGTGCATTCAAGGTGCAGATGTAAATAAAGTTCACTGTACTTAATAGCATCTAGCCAGCGCTACAAACGAAGAGTGCACAGAGATGAACTAGTACTTCTTTTTTTTTTTTTTGTGGTTGGTAATTTTAAATGTAGCTCCACAAACATCAAACACACAAACTGTTTCTGTGAAATCTTTCACAAAATGTGTCTGCTACATGAATGAACAGTTAGTGCATTTCCCAGGGAGGGAAAAAAACCTAAATGCATGATGGAAAAAGATGTAAGAAAGAGAGAGGGCAGATGAGAGATCATTTTAATATAACTGCTCTGCAGATGAAATTTAAATCTTATATGTAATGTCCTAATTCATTTTAGAGTTTTTAAATCAACAAACTGTGAGTATACCAATTTTGTTTTATTCCCAGTTTTCATGAAACTACTGTGCAGTTTAGTCTAGTCTAAACGGGTTAGTTTGTTGTGAACATTACAGTGATGTTGCACTGCTGTAGAGCGGCTGTGGTGTTCATGGTTAAAGTTAGTTAACATCAAATTAAATTCACTTGCTCAATTCTACATTTCATACAAGCTTTATTAGGTTTAGAAAAATCAGCTATCGAGTCATTTGCTTATATCTTACTGAATTTAACTGACTAAATCTCCCAAGAGCAGTGATTTTCTGAGAAGCAGTGCTGGTCACAGCCTGCACACAAAGAAATCCCTTCTGTCGCTCACAAAACAAGTTACTGTGTGAAGCATTTCTAAGCGATACTTTTCCCCACATTACACTACTACGCTCCATCTTAGGGTTCTCCCACCTGCCAAATCCCACTTCGACCCCTGCATGGACTACAGCAGCATTAAGCTACGGTAACATTATATTATATAATATATATCTTCTGTAAAGTCTACTCAGACAGAAACCCTCTTCAGAGATGTTATATGATTTGCCCCATAAACACACAAGGGTGTGTGTATGTGTGCGTGTGTGTTATAGGGGCAAATGCAAACTTCAATCTTGTGCCACACTGAAAGTGACACATGAGTATTGCTAGATATGACCTGCAAATATTTCCATCACAGATTTCATGACAAAGTAATGAGAGTGCTTATTTAGACATGAAACTGATATGATCACATGTCCTCAGATTAATGGAAAGGAGTGTTTGTAGAGGAGGTGTATTCAGGAACATGCATTCCCACGATGATGCACACAGACTCAGAATGTAGAAACAGTACCTGTTTTGCTGCTACTACCACACTGTGACTAAAGTGACAGAGTAAACTGAGGAATCTTTGTGACTACAGCTCTTTTAATACTTTAACCAACAATGAATCCTCTTTTGTGACTTCCCACATAATATGATGAAGAGCTGACATTTTCTATTAAAAAAATAAAAATAAAATGTCAAATCTCGGCAGACCTGCAAGTAAACTGTACCTTCAGAGGCTGGTGGAGGTGTAAAACTGCAAGGTGGTGCTTTTAAACGCTGTAATGTTCTTAATTTGTGTTCCTCCACTTATTGAATTTGTTATCTGCATCTGTAATAAGGCGATATCTGCACTCTGTGTTTAACTGATGGATATGAAATTTGAATTTCAGATACTCTGAATGGTTTTGTGAAATTTTGTGTTTTGGAAAAAGAGTTAAGTTTTCATGAAAATAAAGACTAGCGTTAATGGATCCATTGTGCTGTTGGGCTTTAAGTCAGCTTTAATGTGTGATCTCTAAATGTCCGGTCAACTTTTTAATATTCATCAAAGGCTGATCTCTGCAGCAGAACGCCTATAACACCCACCTATATAATCAAACCACTTCAGACAGTAAATCAATTACCATCAAGGGCCCTATGAATTTCTTTTTTTTTTTCTTTCCACAGGCGCATTAACCACTTTATTTTCTACTGAAAAAGGTGATGAAGAGTTGGCCAGGCCAGGCAGATGAAAGGCAATGGAAGACTATCAATACACAGAAATACAATGGAAAATTACAGGTGCTAAGTAAGCATGGGAAGAAAACTTATACACGAGATACAGACGGTATGTGAACAGTGCAGCTTGGGTTACATGACTAAATCAACAGTGCCTGCTGTTTTCATTAGGTCATGGTCATAGACTCCCTATAGAGATCTCCGTGTGCTACCGTCAACCTAAAGTGCACACACACAATAAAAACAGATGAACTGGGACAAACACAGAAAAGACTAGAAGGAAGGTGTGGGAAAGAAGATGAGTTAGGACATCCTGCTAACCATGAGAAAAACAAACAAACCCCAAAACAGTTATCACAACTTCTAAAATGTGGAAAAATTTTCACAAATTCCAGATTTCATGTGTTTTACACTAAGAAAATTCTGGATTAGCACGCAGCTGATGTGTGAAAGCTTTTTTTTCTCCATATAGACACTAGAGAGGTGGGAATCAGCAGATGGCCCACAATATGGTATTTTCACAATACTTCACTCATGATGCGATATTGTTACGATTTTTAACATTTTGCAATATGCTGTGCAATAACAAATCAGAGTTTATCACCTTATGATGCAATCTGTTTCTCATAAAACAACAGTTAAGTGTGATAAAGACAAGAATTCACATTTAAATTCACACTTGCTATAAGGCGACCCTGCTTTGAATTTATGTAATAAAGCATCAATATTTGGGTCTCTATATCGATAAAATATCGGCATGCAAAGTATCACTATACTATGCTATATCGATTTTTTTGTGGATGGCAATTAACGTGAATTATTACACTGAACAAAAAAGAAGATGCGCACAGAACACAAAGAAATCAAAGAGGAGAGTTCGCAGAAGAGACTTTAAGGAGAAAGAGATTCATGCTGGTGCAAACCACAGGATCCCTCTGTGGAAGCAAACAATAGCTGCAAACCGATACTTTTAACTGTGATGAAGAGGCATGTGATGCACTCGCAGTGTGCAGATGCCCCCGTGACTTATGTGGTGAGACAATATCCATGGTTTGAAGGCAGCATGTTACAGCTAACAGCAACACTGTATTAATAATAATACATGAGGAGGCATTTGTAGAGTTTTGTTGACTGCCAAATTGGGGAGTCTGCACATCTTTGCGCCTCATCTTCAGCATGAGAATATATGAATGTCAAAGTTTGTGAAGGACAATGCCAGCATTATGGGAATAATCTGAAATGCATCACACAGATAATCTTGTAGTTTCCTAATGAGGACACTTGGTACATACTCTCTCTGCTTTAGGCCCCTGCATACAAAAACTGGTCTAAAATGACCCCACTTTGTCTCCATTAAAACATAATGACTGTGACAGTAAAAAAGCCATTTTTCATTTGGACAAAGGCACCAACATTATATTAGAGATATTAGAGAAATTCAGAACATAAAGGGCAAACTGTACATGCAATCTATATTCTTCAAAAAAATATGCTGTGGGTGCATGTGTTTGTTTCAGGTTTAAAATCAATAATGCTGCAGGCCAGATGTTTATGCTGATGAAAATCAATACCCCTTTTTCCTACAGCTTTGATATCAGCTGGGAGGATGTGTGCTACAAAGTGTGACAGCAGTCAATGTATGCGTAATTACTAAAAACATGTGAGGGCATTGCTGATCAAACAAGTGTGTGCTTTCTGAAGAGACAGACTTGGGCTTGATTTCCATCATGACTGTAAAGTAGATGACAAGAAATTTAGCAGTCAATTCCAAAAGCGTTAGGATGCTTTGAAGTGACGATGGGCAGAGGTTCAACAATCTGCAAAAAAAAGTGCATTTACAAATTGTGGAACGATTTCAGAATAATGTTCCTCAACATAAAATTTCAAAGACTTTGGGTGTCTTATCATTTACGCTTTATAATATAAAGGCTGAAAGTCAATATTGGATGCCTGTGATCTCTAGCACTGCGTTAACAACAGGCATGATTCTGTCATGGAAAGTGCATGGACTCAGTGCCATTCACAAATGCAGGTTAAAGCTCTATCAGACAAAGAAGATGCAAGCATGAGATGAAAGCATGCATAAATGCTGCCATCTTTGCTGAGTAACATCTCATTTAAAATCAACCATGGTAAAATGACTAAAGATGGCTAAAAGATGGACGCCGCACAATCTGGACTAAAGAGGAGAGGGACAGTCGGGCTTGTTATCAGCCCTACAGTTTTGGCAGATTACACATCTGGAAAGGAACCATGAATACAGGTATACATACAGGTTTTAGAGCAACATATGTTTCCATCAAGATGATGTCTTTTTCATGACACTATACTAAACTGCATCCTGTGTCTATTGCAACATCTGGATGCTCCACTGGCCTAAGTGTAGTCCAGACTTTCACCGACTGAAAACATTGGGAGCATCGCAAAAAGAAAAACATCACAAGAAAGATTCAGGACTGTTGAGCAGCCAGAATCTTATATGAGACAAGATAGAGACAGTCATTTTCTTCCACCAGTCCAGCAGCTGCTCTCCTCAGTTCCCAGATGTTTACAGACAGTTGTTAAAAGAACAGCAGATGCTACACAGTGGAAACCACGGCCCTGCCCCAACTTTTTTGAGACATCAAAGTCAAAAAGAGACAATATTTTTCTTAGAATGGTGCATTTGATGTGTTCTATTATAAGTAAAATAACTGTATTCAGTTTATATTTATGTTTTACACAGTGTCCCCACTTTTATGGAATTGGGGTTACACGTTACATTATTCCCAACTGGAATACAACAGACTGACTGCACTGTAACATGAAAAGTGTGCCGCGTGTTTAACTATGTGCTTCTTCCTTCACCATTTCCACCACAAACTTACCCGCGGCGCACTGCTCCTCATCTGCCCCGTTCTCGCAGTCCCTCTCTCCGTCGCATCGCCATGACAATGAAACACATTTGCTGGCAGCCCCTCCGCAATCAAACTTCTCTGGAGGACAGGTCTGTCGGCCTGTGGTTGCAGGGCAAGGGTGAAAGACAGCAAAGGAGAAAAGGCGGAGGGTGGGGGGTGGGAAGAAGAGGAATGAGTGGAAGAAAATTGGCGTAAAAAGGGGGGAGAGAATGAAGTCAGGGAGAGTAAGATGGGACAAGAAAGGGAAGGAGGCAAAAAGATGGAGAGAGAAAAGAGAGCCAGTCAATGAAGCAGTTTGATAACTTAGTTATCTTCTCTCTCAAATCGATCCCTCTTCAAAGGTCTGCAATTAAATTAGACACACAGCTACAGTGGAACAAAGGAGTGGGAACACTGTCACACAAGACACAGAGCTGGGGGAAAAACAATGTAGACAAACAAACAAAGAAAGAAACAGAAGGAAGCCAAACAAGAAAAAAGTGCCCAAGTCTGTGTGTGAACAACTGTTTCAACCAGGGCTCATTTTTCCATGAATATTTAGCCTTAAGAGCTAGATAACAATGTGCCAATATAAATGTTAAAAAGCCCAAGTCAAGACCCCACATCTCATTTCCAAATTATTTATAAATGGAGCTACTCAACATCTTTCCAAAATGCGCCTAATTCACCTCTTAGCTTAAACTCGGACACATATCGCAACAAACTGCCGTGAAAAAGGACACTTTGTGTATAGAATACTATATTGGTTGTTATTTTGAGTGTAAATCAGAGAAAGCAAAAGAAGTGGAAAGCTGCACATCGCAGACAGTGAAACACACTCCGTTACACACTGTGTGTGATTGAGAAAGTAGTCCCTCTAGATAAAAGCCTATTACAGTAGTCAAGGCCATTGTTCCTGCGTGTGTAACCCATGAGGTTGCTAGAGGGAGGAGGAGGGAAACACTCCGTTCTAATACATCAAATTTACACAGCCCACAGTCCCTGCAGCAAATCCCCGTGCCTTTTTCCGGCAACCCACTATACACCCTCACCCTGCCTCATTTTCCCCTCACCTCTCTCTTTAATGTCTCTCACTCCCACTCTAACGCCACAGAGACTCGAGCCCCAGATTACATTACAGCACTGTGTCAAACTCAACTCCATCAATTACACACATCTGACCACCAGCATGCTCGCTGGCAACAAGCCTATGTTTGTTGCAGACGCAGATCAATAGTACCTATGGGATTCGCCCATTCCGGCTTCACTCTCCATTTTATTCTTCTCACATTCCTCCTCCTTGTTTTGATTTTTTTTAAACAACACTCTGATATTCAAACACTGCCCCTGGTGGTGGGACGTTGGGACTAGTTTAGCCAAGAGCGACTGCAAGAATCCTCTCCAGCTGTGCACTTTTGGTTGATGTGATCACCTTTGAAGTCATCCACTTGAATTTTCAGTCTTCTCTAAAACTGGGTTTAAGGTTAGACTTGGGCCCTGGTGCCAGGCTGGATCTTTTGGGTGACCACTTTCCTCTCACCTCCATCTTTCTTCCTCTCACTGAATATCGAGCTCTTGCGCGAGCATCTTTTCAAACAGTCATCCCCTAAATGAGGTTTCTCCTTCCCTTTAAAGAAATAAAAAGCCTCCTGCAAATCCGCTTTAAAAGACCCAACGAGTAAGCGCCATATCAGCGCAGTGTAGCTATTACTGCCAAAAGGGACTGAATGGTCTGCGTGTACAATAAGAGCGCGTGCGGGTTAGTGCACGTGCTCATGTTCTTGTGCCTTTGATGCAAAGAACGCAGCTCTTCTGGATGATGTGAAGGTGTGAATGTGATGTGGGTTATGTGGAGGTGTCTTAATATGTGAATTGTCTCAGCAATCTAAATGTGCGCCTCAGAGATCTGGTACTATACAGACAATAGTGTTCCTGGCCTCCACATTATCTGGCTTTTCTAAGAGAGTGTGTGTGTATATTAGTGTGTGTGTGTGTGGCAGTGTAATACTACTGTGGGAGACTTCGTCAGTTTCATACAAAGCCTAACATGGAAACATCACCTAAGGGCTTCAGTCCACCAAGTGTCTGACTGACAGTTGGGTTAAAAGGATGTAATTTGTCTGACTGACCATTTCTGGCCCCTGAGAGCCAGAATGGTCGACTCACGGATAAACTGCCAATCACGAGGCTGAATACAGATGAGCAAGGGGGAAAAAAAAAATTATGACAAAACGAATTAGAGGATTCTCACCCCAAGGGTAATCATTTTCCATAAATACAAAGAAGTACGATTCCTGCTGATGTACAATCAAACAGTAACCTATAACTATTAAAAAGTCAATTCTTCTGCTCTCTATTAGAATTTGATAGACCATAATAACAGTTTCATCCCCACCAATAGCTTCTACATAAGGTCTCTCTATTTGCTGCCTCAGTTACTGTGCAGCCCATTCCCAGACAAAATTGGGTTGTGCAAGCTAAGAAATCTGTTTTTACGCTGCATGCGGAAGCAACAGGAGTTTGTGTGGACTAAGCTGAAGCTGGTAGCACATGGAGCAATTGGCATGATCAACATCGGTCGCCGTGCCTGTACAGGCCAAAATAAGAAAAACAAAAACATGCCTGCTCTATCAAGTCTGCATCTCAGATTGCGTCAAATAAAGGACGTGGAAACACGAGCGTGGAACAATCTGATCAGCATGTAATCAAAAGGAAAACAAACATCGTATCATGTATTTTTAAATCTAGGGTGTATTTTTGTTTTTTCCTTTGCCAGTCCAGATGGTGTTGATAATGAAGTCGCAGTTAAAGTTGCTTTCCCCTGTCTTTCAAAAATTGGTGCTGAGAGCAAATTTGCCCTCTGTCTATCTCTCCTTGTTCCTTCTCTCACTAAATGCTGACAAGGTGGACAAAAGTGGTAAAGCAGGCACTAAAGAGAACTGCAGGACTTCCTGAGGGAGAGATACTGCAGACTCTGATCGTGTTACATGCAGAGTGCAATATCTGACTCCTGCTCCCACCTTCTCAGGAAAAAAATGTACACAAGTCCATAAAAGCATCCTAATGCAAATAAAGACGCACGTAACTCTAAACTACAAATGCAGTGTTTGTGGAGACCGCATGTACACCAAAACAGCTGTGAATCATCGCCTCAGCTGCCAGTCAAAGGCATGTAAGTGAATTCACCTTTGTACTGAATGAATATTTCAAGAGCTGTGAAACTGCTGTGGCACAGATATAAACACTTGGCCGTTAGCTCCCAGTTACCTTTGCTTATTGCCAAGGCTTAGAGCAAATAATAGGCGAGGCACTGATACTAGCCATGCTCCAGTGGAGCTGCTTGGTGATGAGCAGTAAGACACTGAGGGCTCAATACAGCAGCTCCCTGGTGGGTGTAGGCATTATCGAATAAGTGTAAAAACCGGTTGGGGAAACAAGCATGTACTCTTAGTGAATATAACAGGATACATCAGTGTAAAGGAAACAAACAAGTGCAAATTGGCTGGATGACCAGGTCAGAGCCTTTCCCTCAACTTTCATTTCTGTGACACAAACAAAGCACGCGAGGCTCAACAGATTCAGCCTTGAGCCTCTCTATTCACACCGTAACCCCATTTATACATTTATTCACAGGCCGACCTCGGGTAAGGGGTAATTTTACTTTGAGAGCATGAGCCTGATTTCATTAATATGGCAGTGCTATTAGAGAATAGCAGGTACTATGAGAAAACACAGGAAATTATGATGAGGGAAAACCAATGTACCCAGTTAAATTCCTTAACAGTCTTGTGTGCATAGAATAAGTTTAAAATTCACTGCTTAGTGTTAGCAATACAGCCTGTGAAGGGATGCAGTAGCGAAATGCTGCAAGCCAAACTAAATTTATGAGTGACCTCTGTGGCTTCCTGTGCAGATTGCATTAATAGAAGCTTGCGCTGCAGTGTGAAAGTGAACTAGGACGAGATAGCTGGCTCCAGGAGGAAAAAAAATATTTACACAGCAGCTCTAGCTTTGTGAATTTATTGGTAGGAAGCATATTATCACATGAGAAAATATTCAATGAATGTTTGACTTATTAGGATAGACTGGGATTTTGATGATTGGAAGAAATGCATTCAGTGTCAACTTTATTTTAACTACATAAATCCACTGTATATTTTAAGGGAAAAATGGCTTTAATCATTTTTAATGTGTTGGTTTAGTATTTTGTACATTCTGGATATGAAATAGGTTTTTGCTCATCCTGGGGTCAGAAAACTCATTTGGCACACAGAACACGATGCAGTCTTTTAATTCAAACACGTCCACAACCAGAAGTAGTACACACTTGTTATTCTCCTCACATGGCCCGTCTAAGTGTCTATTATGAGGAGGGTATAGGGGTGGACGGAGCAAGGAGCTGTATGCTAATGAACTTTTGATGAACTACCTTTTTAATTTCCCTTCACAAGGAGGGAGGGATTGGAGCATTGTGGCGCGGCACCACGTCCACTATCCAGCTCCATGCTTAGCATCGCGGCGAGCCTCGTAGTTGATTGATGTAGAACTCCCCAAGCCCCGTAGGCTAATGCTAAGATAATTATTTATTACGAGTTGCGTGTGTGAGGCCAGGTAATAGAAGCCGTCCTTAAGTCACTGTCCATCACAATGAGACACAACGTCAAAACAAAAGCCACTTGGGAGAGTATGTGGTAATATGGCACATGATAAATGAGGAGGAACGGAGGCTTGTAGATGATTTACCCTGTATCGACACGAAGCATTGTACCTGCATGAATTTAAAATGCTTTAAGGTACACCGCAGACGGCACAGCATTGATTGATGAGGTACCCCGTTTTAATGTCTTTTTATGCAAAAAACACAGAAGAAACATGACATGTCTCACTACATTGGTGGCATATTATGAATGCCCAGATACTCTGCAATGCTTTGAATGTCAATTGAGTCAGCAAGCAAGCAGTACAAAGCAAAAAACAAAACAAAACTGTGTGCCATATGAAAGGCATTAAGTTCTTTGTAGCCACTTGCTTTTTATTGTGTCACTTTATTTTTCCTGGTCTTTTTTAACTTTAGAGGACACAACATAGTTTGTAGTTCCTTCTGGTACCTATGTTCATCA